ACTTTTTTGCAGTGATTTTTCGGCGGATTTTTCAGTATCTTGGCTTTTTTCACATCTTCCCTCCACTGGGTCCTTCTCGCTCTTATTTCCCGACGTATTTTCCATGGCTAGCGGATATAAACAGTGGGAAGTTGCGCTCCTGTCATATTTAATTTGAAGGGTTCGACTCTACCGGTGGAGATAGTTAGTCCTCCTACAGTTCATTCATTCGTTTCGATGGTAAATTAATCTAGGGAGTTAAAAGTCGCCGTCTGCTTGCATTTAAGCAACGTTGAAAAAGCGAGCCATCGACAGTCTTGTCTGCGCGTGTTTGCTATTGATATTTGCTACAGCCCTGTTAGTTCTTTATACTGTGTGTTTTGCCGCAAAAAACCTGCGAAAAGCCAGTCAAGAAGCGGCCACGAAGAAAGGAAAAATGGAGGTGTATCTTGCATCGAAAAGCAGATACACAGTAGATGTGCAGCCAGGCTGAACCTGAAACGAGAACCGGTGGTGTAGTGGTAACATATTGTGTTAGGGCACGGAAGGAAATGGTTCGACTCCCTCCCGGTCCAGAGCAATTTTTGCAGAGGCGTTTTCGTTCACAACACACCTTTCACAGAAAAAAAGTGTGGAGGAGTTTTTGATTTTTGAGGATTTTTTTTACAGCGGAAATCAAGCCTTCATCACCACGACGGCATGTCTTGCATTACTCGTCGGATTCGAATCTATTGGTACGATCGTTTTGGCAAACAGCAGATAACGTCCTTTGGCTGTTTTCATTCATTTGGCAATTCCGTGGAGATGAGGTATTTACTTTAACATTTTGAGTAAGTGCTATCTCGTTATCGTCTTACATTTTCATACTATTAGTACAGCTGGCAATTTCTTAGTTCTCATTTTGCATCGGAAAAACGTGTATAATTTTATGGACAGGAATATTTTTTCTTATGTTGTGTATAAGATTCACTGGGTGATTTCTGGAGAAAAACTTGGCCGATTACGTTGCGGTTATAGCGATCAGAAATCGAAAACTAAGCTCAGTACAGGAAGACCTGTGGCTGCATTTCAAAACCGTTGATAGCTTAGGCGATCCTGATAATTACACTTTGATACGCTATCATTTTCAGGCAAGTCTACCAATAAAGCCGACGAAGGCACGCCAGACAAGAACACTGGTAAAATGTCATGGTGAACCGGCCCCATATGCTGTGAAAACACCTGTGGCTGGTGCAAAATCATTATCACCTTTAGCGTCTGATTCGTGTAACAGCACTGCAAACACCGTGGTTAAACGATATGGCTATAAGAGGTATGAAATCATTTTGTTAGCAGAAACACAGTAAAATTTGAGTGCGTGCTACGTTGTAATGATTGAAGATTGAGTTTTAGAATGCGAGAGGAGACAGGTCCATTATTTGATTTTACTGAAAAATTTGAATTATATAAAGGTTGAAAATCAAAACATATATTTTATTCATATTCATTCTTCGAGAAAAAAAAACGAAATTTATCGGAAGTAGCTCGAGTGCAAGACATGTGCCAATAGCAACCACTCGCTGGTAAAGCTTTCGACGGCTCTCTCTTTCGAAAGATGTACTTAGAAGCAAACTAATTTCGGTTTTCACCCACTAACAAGCAGAAGCAATACTAATTTACCATCGAAATAAATTAATGAGTCGTAGAGGAACTGCCTCTCCCAATTGCGGATTCGAACCCTTAACCTCCAGTATAAAAGCAGCGTTACTTGCCACTACACCATGCCCAACAACATGAAACAACAGCCTTTTGGCACACGCGTTTTTGCATTGCATAGATGCAAAAAATGCATAAAAAGTGAGTATGGAGTGTCCAAAACGTGCAGAAATATATTCGTCTTTTTTTCTCATACTTTGACAAGCGGTTGTTTCTTTGCTATGCTTTTTCATCACCATCAGCAGCTGCCTCATCCTGCTCACTTTCGAGCTGGCTAAATCCATGCAT